GGAGCAGCAGGTGAGACAGGAGAGGTCCGCTGCACCATGTGGGTCACCTCCCTGGCTGGGGATGGGATCTAACTCATTAACTCATGCTGAAGTGGCTGGCGATAGCTTGATAGTGCCCAGACTTTAACCCCTGCACCACCAGGGAGGCCCCTTTTGTTCTATCAGTTTGCTAGAAAGTTAAAAAATGGTAGCTGGCAGACAAAGACATCACACTAAAAGAAAACTACAGCCGTATATCCATTATGAATATAGATGCAGAAATTCTCACCACACACTAGCAAACCAAATTCAGCCTCCTATTAAGAAAATTATATACCCTGACCAAGTGGAATTTATTCCAGGAATACAAAGTAGCTCAACATGTAAAAAGTGATCAATCAATTATAATATACCACATTAATAGATTGATGGGGAAAAATTCACATGATTATCTCAATTGATGCATAAGAAACATTTGACAAAACCCAGTATCATTTCCTTATAAAAACACACCAGAAGTAGAAGGGAACTTCCTCAATCTGATAAAGGGCAGCATGAAAAACCTACAGCTAACATCATACAAAATGCTAGATGACAAAATATTTTCCCCTAAGATCAGGAACAAGATAAAGATGCCCACTTTTGGGCCTCCCTGGTGGCACAAGGGGTTAAGTCTCAGCACTGTGAAGCTATGGCCAGCCACTGGAGCACGAGTTTGATCCATGTGACCCACATGGCCCAGTAGACCTCACCTGCCTCACCTGCTGCTCCCCTCAGCAGTGTATTTCAGACCATTTGCCTGTTCTGCTCCCCACTCTGTCTCTGGAGAATCCTCTCACCCCCCTGTACCTCTGGCCTACACCCCAGCTTTTGTATGCATGAATAAATAAATCTTAAAAAAAAATGCTCGCGTTCACTGCTTCTATTCAACACTGTACTGAAAGTCCTCACCGGGTAAATTGGGGTAGAAAAAGAAATAAAACGCATCCAAAATGGAAAGAAAAAATAAAACTAGATTCACAGATGATATGCCCTTATATGTAGGACATCCTAAATGAGTCACCAAAAAGCTTTTCAAGGTAATAAATTCAGCAAAGATGCAGGACACAAGATCAACACACAAACATTAGTGGGATATCTATGAATTAGCTTGAACAACCTGAAAGTTAAAAATATTCATTTATCTAGCATTTAAAGAATTTAAAAAAAAGAATTAAAAACCTAGGAATAAATTCAGCCAAATAGATGGAAGATTTCTACAGGAAAACTATGAGCATTTCTGAAATAAATTAAAGAAGATATAAATAAATGGAAAAGACCCAATGTTAATGGATTCAATATTTAATGTTAACATATCAATACTCCCCAAAGAGATCTACAGATTTAATGCAAACACTATCAGAATTCCAGTAGCCTTTTTTTTTTTACAGACATGGAAAAACTGATCCTACAATTCATATGAAATTGTCAAGGACCCTGAATAACCAAAACAATCTTGAAAGAGGACCATATCGGAAGACTCGTACATCCCAATTTCAAGACTTACTAAGTTGCAATAATCACTGTTATTAGCACAAAGATAGACATAGCTGAATGGAACAGAAATGAGAGTCTAGAAAATCGACAATATATGTATTGTCAATTAATTTTCCACAAGGGTCCCAAGACCATTCTATGACAAAAAATGGTCTCTTTAACAAATGGTGCTGGGACAACTGGAGATGTAAGCACACACATGTATATATGTATGTATATAAACAAACATGTAAAAGAATGAAGTTGGACTCACTTCATACCACATACAAAAAATTAATTTAAAATGGATTAATGACCTAAGTGTAAGAACTACAACTGGGCCTCCCTGGCGGTGCGGGGGTTAAAGTCTCAGCACCATCAAGCTATCACCAGCCACTGCAACAGGAGTTGTACCCCTGGCCAGGGAGCTACCCCCATAGTGCAGCAGACCTCTCCTGACTCGCCCACTGCTCCCCTCAGTAGCGCATTTCAGTCAATCTGTCTGTTCTGTTCCCTACTCTGTCTTTGGTGAATCCTTTCACTCCCCATACCTCTGGCCTGTACCTCGGTTCTTGTATGCATAGATAAATAAACCTTAAAAAAAAGTGAAAATTTTTGTGTCAAAGGACACTGTCAAGAGAGTGAAAGGATGACCTCAGAATGGGAGAAAATATTTGCAGGTAGTATGGCTCATAAAATCCTAGTATCCAAAATATAAAAAGAATGCTTGCATCTCAACAGCAAAATGATGAACAGCCCAATTAAATGGGCAAAGGAAATACTCAAATAGCTATTTCTCCAAAGAGGTTATGCAAATGGCCAACAAACACATGAAAAAATGCTTAACATTGTTAGTCATTAAGGAAATAAAAACAAGGCCATCATGAAAGACCTCTCCACACTCTTCAGGATGTTCTAATACTAATCGAAAAGCAAGTGTTATCATGAAGATAGAGAAATTGGAACTCTCAGACATTGCTGGTGGGAATGTAACATGGGACAGCTAGTGTGGAAACAGTTTGGCTGTTGCACAAAAAGTTAAAGATAAAATAGTTTGCCTCCCTGGTGGTGCAGGGGGTTAAGCACCACACTATGAAGCAATCCGCAGCCTCTGCAGCATGAGTTCGATACCCGGCCAGCTAGGGAGCAACCCACATGGCAAGGCAGACCTCTCCTGTCTTGCCTGCTGCTCCCCTCATCAGTGTACTTCAGTCAGTCTGCCTGTTCTGTTCTCCACTCTGTCTCTGGTGAATCCTCTTGCTCCCTGCATCTCTGGCCTGTACCCCAGTTCTTGTATGCATAAATAAATCTTTAAAAAAAAGAAGATAGAAAAGTTTATGACCTACTTCTGGGTATATACCCCAAAGAAATGGAAACATGTTCTAACAAAGTGAATGGCCTGATTATTCAGCAATAGTGTTCACAATAGCCAAAAGGTAGAAGCAGCACAAGCGTCCATCAACAGAATGAATAAACAAAAAAAAGGGGGGGGAGAATGAATAAACAAAATGGGGTCTGTCCATCCAACGGAATATTATTCAGTCATAAAAAAGAATGAAGTTCTCTCTCAGACTGCAACATGGATGGACCTTGAAAACACATGCTAAGTGAAAGGTTATATATTTTTTGTGATTTCATGTATGTGAAATTTCAGAATTAGCAAATCCACAGAGGCAAAAAGCAGATTATTGGCTGCCAGTGACTAGGGGAGGGCCAAATGGAAAGGGGCTGCTTAATGGGTATGGGGTTTTCTTTAGGGAGATGAAGATGTTCTGGAACAAGATAATGATGATGATTGCACACCCCCGTGAATGTACTAAATGTCACTGCATCATGTACTGTAAAATGTTTAAAATGGTGAATTTTATGTTGTGAATTTCTCATTACAATAAAAATGGTTCATATGGGTGGGGTTGGAGCAGGTAGAGGGGTTGATTGGATAGTGGTGGATGGCAACTAGACCTTTGGTGGTGGGCAGGTGTGGTACACAGTCGTGTCACTTTCATCAAGTGACAAGGACACTTTCTGAGAAATGCATTGCCATGGTGCGAATTTCAGGGTGCACTTACACCATCTAGATGGCGTGGCCTCTTGTGCCTAGGCTGTGTGTAGGAACCACTGTCGTAACTGCAGTGCGTCACTGACACAAGAACCTATGCAGAGGTGATGAGATGCTAGGCACCCTAAATGTAGCCCATCTTGTAAACTTCGGTTACCTCAATTGAAAAAAAAGTATTTTAAAAGATGCCTGGCACTCCCGGGGCTGTGGCAAGTTATCTAATTGTTTATGCTGTCTTGGACTTAGTGAAAGAATTTAATGGTGGCCAGAGTAACAGGTGGGAGGGAGGCAGATGGAGTAAGGACACAGGTGGTTTGGTGGAGGGCAAGAGGAACATGTGTGCATATGGAAGAATAAAAAAGTAACCCCCAAATTAGAATCAATCAATAAAAAATAAATAAATAAATAAAAAGAAATGTTCAGGGTAAGTTTTTCTTTTCTTTTTTTAAAAAAATGTATTTATTTATGCATACAGGAACTGGGGTACTGGCCAGAGATGCAGGGGGTGAGAGGATTCACCAGAGACAGAGTGGGGAACAGAACAGGCAGACTGACTGAAATACACTGCTGAGGGGAGCAGTGGGCGAGACAGAAGAGGTCTGCTGCGCCATGTGGGTTGCTCCCTGGCAGGCTGGGGATCGAATTCGTGCTGCAGAGTCTGCAGATTGCTTCATAGTGCAGTGCTTAACCCCTTGCACCACCAGGGAGGACCCACGGTAAGTTTTTCTAACACGGAGACTACTTGGGTTCCAGTGTAAAGTGAGAAAAAGTGGGCTACCTGCTTTTCCTTTACAAAGTAATCTCAGTCACATAGAAACAAGCAAATCCTGTGCACAGGGGTGGGGTGGGGGGATGGGGGAACTCCAAGGGATATACATCAAAATGTTTCTCTGGATGGTGGCACTCTGGCTGACTTTGTTCTCAGTTTTTAACCTCCTAATAGTGATAATTTTCAATTTTTCTTTTAAAAAGTTCCTATGGCATCATATTTATAATAGAAAAAATATAAATATATAAAAATATAAAAATATAATTGAAAATAAAAGGAAACGGAGGATAGAGGCAAAGAGACGGGGGATGGGGGGCAAAACAAGAGAGCACATGCTTCAGGGGAGCAATCACGCAATCTAGACTTGGAAATTGCTAAGAGACAGATGGCAGCGGCCAAGCAGATACCTGCCATGGATAGTTGAATGATATGCAGAGACACACGTGGCCTTTGGAGCAGGCCCTCGAGAGGCCCTGGAGAGGCCCTGGAGAGGCCCCGCTCGCCCAGCCAAACAGAAGGACAAGGCCCCTGGCCCCACCTTGCTGTGTTGGCACATGGGGCCCCTGAGTCCCCTGGGAGCCTGGAGGCTGTGGCAGGGCCCAAGGCAGAAGTGCTTGCATGTGGGGAGGATGTGAAAGAGGTTGTGGGAGAAGAGAGAGGCACCTAATAATGACGATAATGACAATGGCAACCACGGCCGCTGACATTTACAGGGGCTTCACCGTTTATAGAGATGCTCATACACGTGCAGAAGTGGTAATGACTGCTTCGCCCTTCTTAGTGACCCGGCGAGGTGGATAATTCTTATTCCCCTCTTACCATGGAGGAGTGTGGCATAGAGAGTTTGCATGAGTTTACTTATGTAACATCCACATAGGACTCACTCTGTGCCCAGACGTTGTCCTAAAAGCTTGCACCTGCATTAACTGCCCGCGTTCATACGGCTAGTGAGGCGTGCAACTGGGACTCAAATCTGGCTTTTTAGACTCTACTCCGCACCACACTTCTGCTCTGAGCTAAACAGAATTCATCTCGACAGAATCTCAAATACACTCACAGTGGCTCCCTCTTCCGCTCCATTCATCCATCTTCATTTTCTGATTAAAATGTAAGACACGATTGTGTTAAAAAAAATATGTCAATATTATAGAGCTAAATAATGTGGAAAGTAAAGGTCCCCCAAATTTCACACCTGACAATACTATCTTACCTGTTTGATGTGTGCTCTTCCGGATTTTTTTCTCTGTGTCTGCTAACACATGTGTTTTTCTCCTATTTTTCTAAAAGAGTAAGTCTATACCTACACTTATCTACTTGCTCTTTCAGACAATATTAAGACTTGGAAATCTCTCTATGACTAAATAGATGTACTGGTTTGTCTTAATATCTCACTATATAGAGGTTCTAATTTGTGCTTTGAAAATAGGCAGGGGCTATCTTTATATAGCATCGGCTTCTGTGGTTCTGGTTTTGTAAGTTGAGCATTGATGTCCTTTGACACCTGGCTTCATATGAGTATATTGCAGAGGAGAGGCCCTTGTAGACCATATGAGATTATGAAACATCCTCTTTTGAGGGACAGGTAAGCCTTGGAGATTTATGCTCACAATAATCGTTCTTAAATGTTATATTTGACGTCATTTTGGATGGTTGAACAGAAAAACAATGTTCACCAGCCATAATAAAGACTTGGCAATTTCATAGTGATTATCACTTTGTAGGGTGATCCCTTAATTTCTCAGCTGCATGAAAGATGATAAGATAATCACATGAATCAGGGACAGACAAGCATTTGCTCATCCGCCACGGACAGTTCAGAAATAGCTGCCTGGTTCGTGAATGGTGTGTATTCTGGCACATGGGTGTGTGTATGTTTTGCACACATGGGCAGACATGTACTTGTTTGCTTTTGTAAGATATTCTGCAGAGGATTGGGAAGAAGGAATACTGTGGAGCTAGAAAATATCTAGAAGTTTCCAGAAGCAAGGAAGTAGTCACTTCTGGCCAGCCTCTATAGTGTGTTGTTAGTGTTTTAGAGTGGATGGTCTCATGCTACAGCTATAATTCAGGGAGAATTATGCTTTGTCTTGGACTGTGCTGGGACTAGAATAAGTTTGTTGTTTGGCAATCTTCAGATATCTTCCTAGTGGCTTGGGAGATATCACCACTCATCAAGTTTCCTATGAATCACAGGGAACAGTCAATTACCATTTCCATAAATATTCCCAAATTGCCCACCCAAAGACTGTGCTCATGGACATTTCCTTTGGCCTTATGAGAGGGCTCTGCACGCATCATCTCACTCATCTTCAAGCCATCTTGCAAAGTCAGCAGTCGGGGGTGTTTATCTGGCATAAACTCTCATGTAAATGGTGGCCCTCGGAGTTGCACAGATACAACATCATGGCCCTGAACACCCATTTTACTGAAGCAAACACTGAGACATTGGGAGGTGAAGTTACTTGTTTGAAGTTGCAAAGCTGATGAGAGTCCGAGCAGAGCTTGCAGCCCAGGCTTGTCTGACTTCAGAGCCAATGTAACTGGGTCCATGGCCTCTTAAATCTGTCACGGCCTCCTCGGGGCGGAGACAGAGGAGGGAATCAGAATACATGCAGGGACCTGCTTTTTCTCCACTTCCTGAATGTGAGCAGAACTCCTGGGTCTTCAGTATTGTCCAGCTGGTCATCCTTCAGGCCTCTGTCAGGGCTTTCACTGAGAAGCAATCTTCAAAGAGAAAATCAGGCCATTTGGCTCAGGAAAGACATTGGAGAAATAAATTGCTGTTGCACCATGAATAGAATAAGGCAGTTAAGTTGATGGAAATAGTTATTTTTTTTTTTTTATTTTATAGAGGCATGTTTATTTATTTGTTTGTTTGTTTGTTTTGTTTATACATGCACTGGGTACAGTCAGAAGCGCGGGAGGGTGAGAGAATTCACCAGAGCCAGAGCGGGGAGCAAAGCAGGCAGAAGGACCGAAGTACACTGCTGAGGGGAGCAGCGGGCGGCAGGAGAGGTCTGTGCACCATGTGGGACCCTCCTCCGGTGGCTGGGGAGCAGCTGGGGATCAAACCGGCGCAGCAGAGGCTGCTGGCAGGTTCGCAACCCAGCGCTCAACTGCTGCGCCACCGGGGAGGCCCGGAAATAGTTATCTTTTGATTATACAGGTGAGGATTATGTGCAGCAAATTTTAAGTCCAAGCTGCCTTTTTGTTGGCTTCTTCCCTTTCTCCCCACTAGCCACACACTTTTTTTTTTTTAAAAAAAAGATCTATTTATTTATGCATACAAGACCTGGGGTACAGGCCAGAGGTGTGGCAGGGGCGGGTGGTGGTGAGATGATTCACCAGAGACAGATTGGGGAACAGAACAGGCAGATCTGCTGAAATACACTGCTGAGGGGAGCAGCGGATGAGACAGGAGAGGTCTGCTGTGCCACGTGGGTAACTTCCTGGCCAGCCTGAGATTGAATTTGTGCTGCAGAAGCTGCGGATAGCTCCACAATGCTGTGCTTAACCCATTGCACTACCAGGGAGGCCCTAGCCACACACCTTTAACTGCCTCCCTAAACTGTCCAGCTGGTGTGCGTTCTGCAAACACTAATGTAACTTTTCACATTAACCCAAGCAAAGTATAATTAGGAAGACATAATTTTCTTTCAAGAAATGTCACATGCCAATGTCAAATAGAGATGATTTTTGTATATCCACTATTATAGCTTATTTGCATCAGTATTGACTCTCAATAGTATAGTGCAGTCTGGATTTGATGATATGTCTAAAGCAGATTATAAAATTGACTTTTTGTGAACTGAGATTTCCTTTTTTCTTCTTTTCCCTTCCCAAAATTTGCACAGATGGACTTTCACTCAAGGGAAGAAGACTGGATTTTTATGGAAGAGCTGACACCTACGTTAGCCTGACCAGTACTGTTCCTGAACTGAGTCGATTCACAACATGCATTGACCTGGCATTCACAGATGATAACCCAAGTGATTGGATGGCTTTCTCCTATATTACTAATAACACCTTCTTGGGCAGAGAAGACATTGACCTTGGACTTGCAGGAGACCATCAACAGCTAATATTATACAAGATGGGCAAGATCTTTTATATCCATTACCACCTGACTCCATTACACTGGCATACAATATGCTTGATATGGGATGGCGTGAAAGGCAAATTAGAACTCTTCCTGAATAAAGAAAGGATACTGGTAATTATAGATCAACCACAAAACCTGGCACCTAATGGGACTCTGATTCTAGGACACTTGCTCAAGAAGCGGGACAGCCAGATTAAAAGTGTCATACCAGCCTTCAGTGGCAGCTTGTACTACTTTCAACTCTGGGACCACATCCTGGAAATTGAGGAGTTTATGAAGTGTTTGGATGGAAACATAGTTAGTTGGGAAGAAGATGTTTGGCTCATCAACAACCTCATTCCCACTGTTGACACGAGGCTGCGCTGCTGTGAGTAGCTTGTGAATTGTCTGCCGTAGTGAGGGGAGCGATGATGCTGTATACCCCAGACCACTTGTAGGCCAGGTTCTGTCTTCCTCTGAGGGACCCACAGTTGTCACAGTTTTGTCATCTGCTTGTTGATGTAGAGCAAATACCATTGTCTTTTATCTTTCATTTTGATAATTTCAACCTTACAGAAAAATTGCAAGAATGGGACAAAGAACTTCTATATACACTCTACCCAGATTTAATAATTGTTAACATTTCCCCCATGTTTTATCATTCTCCCTCTTTTTCCTTCTCCCTCCCTACACACACACACACACGCACACACACACACAGTTTCCTAATCATTTGAGATTAAGTTGCAGATATAATGCCTCATTACCCCTAAAATCTCAGTGTGTATTTCTGCTTCTGTAGCCACAGCACGACTATGAAAAACAGGAAATTTAACATTGATACACTACTAATATCTAAACCATAGTCCATGTCCAACCTTTGCCAATTATCCTAATAATTTCTTTTATGGATCCTTTGCTTGGTCCAGAACCCAGTTCAGGACCGCACATTTACATTTAGTTAGAATGTCTCTTCAAATTCTCATCTGGAGCAGGTCCTTAGTCTTTCTCATCTTTCGCGATACCAATTTGTCCCATTACTGCTGATGATAACTTAGATCATTTTAAAAATGATTTATCTGGGGCCTCCCCGGTGGCACAGCGGTTGAGCGCTGGGTTACGAAGCTGCCTGCGGCCTCTGCGGCGCCGGTTCGATCCCCGGCTGCTCCCCGGCCACCTGAGGAGGGTCCCACATGGCGCGCAGACCTCTCCTGCCGCCCGCTGCTCCCCTCAGCAGTGTACCTCGGTCCTTCTGCCTGCTCTGCTCCCCGCTCTGGCTCTGGTGAATTCTCTCACCCTCCCGCGCTTCTGACTGCACCCAGTGCATGTGTAAACAGAACAAACAAACAAAACAAATAAATAAAGAAATAAACATGCCTCTATAAAAAAAAAAATATTTAAAAAAAAAAAATGATTTATCTGTTTATGCATTTAAGAATTGGGGTATAGGCCAGAGGTGTGGGGAGTGAGAGGATTCACCAGAGACAGAGTGGGGAGCAGAACAGGCAGATTGACTGAAATACACTGCTACACTGCTGAGGGGAGCAGCGGGCAAGACAGGAGAGGTCTGCTGTGCCATGTGGGTCAGCACCCTAGCCAGGGATCAAACTTGTGCTGCAGTGGCTGCTATAGCTTCCTAGTGCTGAGACTTAACCCCTTGCACCACCAGGGAGGCCTGATAACTTAGATCAATTGATTCTGGTGATGTCTGCTAGATTTCTCCACAGTAAAGTCACTATTCTTTCCTTTGTTATAATTAATAAGCAATTTCTGGGGAGATATTTGAAGGTTGTGTACGTATCTTGTTCTTATCAAATATTTACCCAGTTGTACTTCATCTGTAGATGATTCTTGCCCACCTAACTCATTACTACCTATGATGGCTGCAAAATGATTTTAAAGACTCTTATTTTTCTACATTTATTAGTATTCTATTATAAGGAAAAATGTTCTCTTCTTCCCCACATAACTTATTTATTCCTTCATTTGTTTTTGTGTTTATATTAGCATGAACTCATGGATTCTTTTATTCAATGGGTTATAATCTGTCGCTCACTTCCTTTGTTGCTCAAGTTGGCCCAGATTTGGCTGGTGGGAGTCCTTCAGTTTGGTTCTTGTGTCCTTTTTACACGTCCCCATAATTTTTGGAGCACTTTACTTTCTAGCACTACAAGATATTACAGGCTCATCTTGTACTGTCCCTGCTCAGCTTAAGAATCAGTTGTTTCTCCAAAGAGACTGGGTTCCTTTTTTTTTCAATTTTTTTTCAATTTTTTTAAAAGATTTTATTTATACAAGAGCCGGGGTACAGGCCAGATGTGCAGGAGGGTGAGAGGATTCACTAGAGACAGAGTGGGGAACAGAACAGGCAGACTAACGAAATACACTGCTGAAGGGAGCAACGGATGAGACAGGAGAGGTCTGCTTGCCATATGGGACCCTGTCCGGTGGCCAGGGATCGAACCGGCGCTGCAGAGGCTGCAGACAGCTTCACAGCGCTGCGCTCAACCACCTGCACCACCAGGGAGGCCCGAGACTGGGTTCCATTTAGTGGAGAATGAATGGTATTAATATTTATAAAGCCAATTCATTTTTGAGAGCAGTGATGATGTGGGAAAAATGCTTGGAATAGAATTCTTATAAGAGAACTTGCCTTTTGGAGTTACACATGCATTTTCCTTCTCTTTTCATTTTTAGAAGGAAATATAGGATTGTTTTTCTCTGTATAACATCCTTTTCCCCTCAAATCTTAGCTTATCCACCATCATCAGCAACAGTCCTGAAGGTGGTTAAAGTCCATGATAACAGTATCAAAATACGATTTTTTTCTCTTTTCCTGAAATGTTCACTTATTCTTAGAAGACCATTATTTATTGTTCTTACGGATTTGGGGGGGTGGTGGTTAGAGAGGGGATGGGCTAGATCCCTGCCTTGGAGGGCTCTCACAGACTATGGAGGTATGTTTTCACCAAGTGTCTGAAAGGGGTTTGAGTTCAAGGTAGAGGCACATTCCAGGCAGTTTCTGTGTTTCTTTGAGATTAGACTCATGCAAAGGAACTGGAAAGCTGTTCCTTTGAGCTACTACCTAAAGGTAGTTTCCTCTTTTCTGAAGCTTGAAAATAAAAGAGAAAAGTCCTAGCTGGCTCTGATCACAAAGCAGAGTCAGGAACCAGTAGGTTATGCCTGAACAGCTCACCCAAAGCAGTTTAAAGTCACTTTGTCTTTCTTCTATGCAACTGGAAGAATGACTTGATTAAATCTGTAGGCTTAGCAGTTGTCTTTGAAAACCTAATCTGTCCAGTGAATTGCCAAGGCCTTTCCTACCACTTGGCTGGTAAATAACTAACCCTAACTGATGTGTTCAAGTGCTCGAAAACCCTCATAAATTTGCTCTTTTGTACACTTTTTTTTCTTTTTTTCCCATTGCTTCCCCACTCCTGCCCCCTTGCCACACTCCCATCTCCTTACCCCTACCAAGTCTGTACACTTTTTATTTTTTTTAAAGATTTATTTATTTATGCATACAAGAACTGGGGTACAGGCCAGAAGTGCAGGAGGTGAGAGGATTCACCAGAGACAGAGTGGAGAACAGAACAGGCAGACTGACTGAAATACACTGCTGAGGGGAGCAGCGGGCGTGACAGGAGAGGTCTGCTGTGCCATGTGGGTTGCTCCCTGGCCGAGGATTGAACTTGTGCTTGCAGTGACTGCGGATAGCTTCATAGGTTGTGTCTTATCCTCTTGCGCCAGCAGGGAGGCCCTGTACACTTTTTAATGTACAACCCATCCTCTTTGTCTGATTAAGTCCTGGGGTGGCAATATATATAACTAATCCAACATAGCAAATAAACAAATAAAACAACCTAACATGGCAATGAAGCAAAATCAGTGGAAAATGTTATTTCTAGCATTCAGGCTTCTTTAAGTGTTTTTTCCAAACCTTAAACCAGGGAGTCCAGAATGGCCTTGATGGGCCAGAAAAGTCCTTGACATTGTATGCAATGTGCTAAAAATACAATGTGGAATTTTAAATGACAAAGCCTACAGTTTCTATCACATCCTAAAATAATCTGTAATTACTGTCTTTTACGAGGCTCTTACCATGAGCCAGGATTTTATACATGAGAAAAAAGAGTCTTAGACGGCCTCCCTGGTGGCACAAGGGGTTAAGTCTCAGCACTATGAAGCTGCAGCATGAGTTCAAATCCCGACCAAGGAGCTGACCCCTATGGCGCAGTAGACCTCTCCTGTCTCGCCTGCCGTTCCCCTCAGCAGTGTATTTCAGTCTGTCTGCCTATTCTGCTCCCCACTCTGTCTCTGCTGAATCCTCTCACCCCCACACCTCTGGCCTACACCCAAGCTCTTGTATGCATAAATATATAAAATAAATCTCAAAAAAAAGAGAGGCTTAGACAGGTTCAGTAAATTGCTTAAGGTCACCCATCAAATAAATAGTGGAGCTGGAATTTGAACATAGATTGGTCTGGCTGCAAAGCCCATGCTCTTTTCACCCCCACAGCATGTCTCACATATTATGCAGGGTGATCTTAAGGGGTAAGTGACTCCCAAAGGTTGTGAACCGCTATTTTAGTAGCTTCTTTAAAGGGAGCTGCTGGTGCTGATAACCACCATCTGAGGAAATAGACTGTTAGCCGCAGTCACTGCCTGCTCACTGTTGAAGGAGCTGTAACACCACAGAATTTCTTCTACCTGGTCATATGCCATCTGGGGGGAGGGGGGCAATTATATGAATAAATAGGAGTGATTACAACATGTCTAGCTTCAGCTTTTGCCTAATAAATTGGTATTTATGGTCCATAGAAGGATTATGACCTTTAAAAAATAAATTTTAATGAGCACATTGCTAGGTTACAAATCTCAATAAATCTATTTACACATGAATTATATATGTATATATTTATATATTCATGAGAACAAGGCTTTTGGGGAACATTTGCTGAAAACCGTGAACCCTACCTGGGTTTAATAAACTAGTATGCACTATAGTTGGAGATGTCACAGGAATATTTAAACAGTGCAGTGATAAATGCTAATAACAGTAAAGTTGTTAGCATTAGTAATTTAGTTTTGGAGTAGTTTTTAAGCATCTTTTCTTGATTTTTAAGTATTACAAATGCAATACACAATGGTTGCAAATACAATAATCTCAAACATTGTAAAAGTGCATGAAGTAATAAAGTAAAACCTGTCCTGTGTGCTCTCCACAGACATGTCTATATTCTCTGGATCTGTAAGTGTGTGAATATGTAGAGTTTTAGAAAACAAAAATAATACATGCATGCATTTGTTCTACAATTTGATTTATTTTTAGCTTAATATTATCATGGACACATTAGTACATTTAGATCGACCTTATCTAGTCTCAAG